CGCTGCCCCGCGCTGCCCCGCGCTGCCCCACGATTTCTGCCCCGTGCCAGTGCAACCCCTCGCGATCCCGTGCGCCCCCGCGATGCCCGCTGTCCCCCTCCCCCTCCGGCCTGCCTGCCTGCCCCGCGTTTCCTGCCCCGTGTCTGTGCAACCCTAAGCTGCCCGCGGCCAGCTGCCTGCTACCCCGTGAGACTCCCCCCTCCCCCCCTCCCCGTTGCCTATGCCTACCCCGCGCTCGCGCTCACCTCCATCCCCCGTTGCTGTCCCGTGCAGCCCCTTGAGACTTGTGCGTCCCCGCGCTGCACCGCGTTACCTGCCCCGTGCAGCCTCTGGTTAGCCCGTAGCAGGGCCCCACCACTTCTCTTATTTTCGTAGTTATCCAAGGTACATAAATATTTAGCCGGTAAATTCCCCGGTTTAACACCTGATCACGCGTTTAGTAGAATGTCCCCAACTGTAGGGTTGAATTTTCTTTACAGTCGTACGGCAACGGCGCTCTGCGTCACGATCTTCGAAAGAGAGGGGTGCGTCTGAAGGTACCGCTAATCAGCTAACACCTCCTCCCACTCCACCCCTGCCTAACCCTGCTACTGGAATTACTGGTACGGCAGCGGCGCCTGGGGCGGCTGCGACTGCTGATGGAGTACCAGTGACTAATGGGGATGACGTAGTGGTAGATGGTGCCCCCCCTACTAAAAAGAGGAGTAGGCTGGATTACGCCGAAATTAACAGGAAGTTGAAAAATAATGATTATGGTTTGGTGGATAATCCTCTGGCCAGAACAGTGACGGAGGGCCTCTGGTCCAGGTTTTTCGTTATGAAGGATAAAAAAAAGAATCAAATTGTGTGGATAGCCAAGTGCAAAGTATGTCCTGCCTTGTACAAGTTGCAGGAAGGTGGCGCAGGCAGCAGTAACCTATCAAAACATAAGTGTAAGATAGGTTCGTTGTGGGGGGAGGAGGAGGGGGAGGGGGGTGACGCCGAGTCGTCGCCATCCGCGACGACATTCAGAGACACTATGCCTAGTGTCGCCAAAAAGGACTTGGACCAGCTCCTTGTTAACTACTTCGGCGAGGAGATGATCCCCGTCGAGAAGGTGGCGCAAGACTCCTTTGTTGAGTTCGTACAAGGCATTCTAGATTTAGGATTTTCGTGGTCGTCGTGGGGCCGACTTGAGGCACGGAAGATGATCCCCTGCCCTACCACCCTTGCCCGACATCTCGTGCAAGGGGCAGACAAGGTAGTAGATGTTATTGGGCCTGTCATCGCCGAGGCCGCCAGGGACGGGAGACTGTCGTCAACAAGTGACATGTGGACCGACAAGTATCAAAATAATCACTACTTTAACTTGACTGGACACTTTGTGAATAAAGAGGGCTTTCAAGAAAATCACGACTTGTGCGCCACAGTTTTTGAGGCAGAGTCCGCAACCGGTGAGGCCATCCGCGCTGAAATACTACAGAAGCTTCAAAAATTTGGAATTTCCCCAGAGGATGCAAAGCAAATAGAATTTATCACAGATGGGGGCAGTAATGTTGTCAGTGCCCTTGAACCATTCAAATGGCATTATTGCCTCGATCACGCACTAAATCTGTGTGAGAAGGGGGCGTTTCACATCAACTACTTTGACCTAGTCGACAGGGCCCTGGAAAGTGCCCCTCAAGCCAAGTCGATTTTGCAAGAGTGTGATAGTGCTGTGCGCGAAGTTAAAGCGGCTCTCTCGAGGAAGGACAAGGCGGTAGGAAAGGCTATCCATTTTTCTAACTGGTCCACCCACAGCCATGTAAAGATGTTGTCATCCTTCCTGCTCTTCCGTGCAGAGGTAAGTTCGCCTAAAATAACATTACTTAATTGTTATTTGTTTGACGTTGAAAACCGATTTTGTGGCGTGGTTGCACACGTCGCGTACTCGCACCTTCATTTTGATTTGGCCGCGGGTGTTTGACTACCTGACTGGCGCGCTTCAGCATATTTTTTTCGGGGTGATATTTGTCCAACTAAAATACTAGTTTTACTCGTGGAATAATTCCCAGTCAATACGTAGAGTCGAAGGAAGTAATAAGTTTTCAATTTAAAATCGTCACTTTAAGATTATGCATGAAAAATGTTCCCGTAAAACGTAAAACTAGTTTTCAGAGTGAAATTAAAAATACTGTTTCTTTGTGAATAGATCGAAGAGCGACTCGTGCAGCGGGGGTATGAGAACACAGAGGCTCTTAGAGACATTCTCAATGACGACATCCGGGCCCTCATTATTTTCCTTGGTCGTTTTGACAACGGCGGCGACCGAGAGGACTCCCCCCACGTCACCACGGCGGTGTGGCCTACACTCCAAGACCATGTAGAGCCGGGCGAGGAGGACCTGCCCATGGTAGTCGCCATGAAGGATAGAGTGAGGAGTGAGCTGGTCCGTATGGAGGCAGTGGTACTTATTGAAAAAAGCAAGGCACTGGTGACGTTTTTCAAGAAGTCACCAAACCTAATGTCAAAGCTCACCAAGTCTCAGTCCGTCAAATCCCTAAAGCAGGACGTCCCCACTAGGTGGAATTCTCACCTCTCTTCTCGAGTCCTTAAATGGGAAACTGGATGCAGTAAGTACAAATATTAAACAATGAAGGAATTTAAAGTAACGCCAATTTTAATTTTAGAAATATCCCTCTCCTACCCCCCCCCCTTTTTACATTAAAACACGACCCCTGAAAACTAAAAGGTCGTATCTCGGAGCGGCTGCGTATAAGGTCGTACCTCGGAGCGGTTGCGTGTAGTGTCGGATCTCGCCAGCGTCCCAGAGAATGGTCGTAAGTCTATTTTTTGTCGATTTTGCGAGATGCATACCATTAGAATCGGGAGAAAATTCTCTTTCTAATGATATGCATCTGACGAAATCGTGAAAAAACAGACTTACGACCATTCTCTGGGACCCTAGCGAGATCCGACACTATAGGCAACCGCTCCGAGGTACGACCTTATAGGCAGCCGCTCCGAGGTACGACCTTCTAGTTTTCAGGGGTCGAACAGTTTTGCGAGAGCATGCCACTGTGACACGCAAGCAGCATCACCTTAATAGACGTTTTATCCAAAGCGGTTATTCGTATAGTCGCCCAAATACCGCTATTTTTGTCCAGCGACAACCTCTTCACCGTGATCAAAATTCAAAATTCTGGCCCCGGTGTTTGACGCGGAGTAGTCACAAAAATCAAACACCGTGGCCATAATTTTGAATTTTGATCACAATTAAGAGTTTGTCGCTGGAAACTATTAGCGTGCGGCGTTGCCACATCGTTTGGATAAAACTTCTATCGAACGGACGGGATCGATGAAGTACTGCTAGATGCCATCGTCCAGTTTCTTACACCCTTTGAGGTAGAATCAAAGCGGCTTGAGGGAGAAGATTGTCCTGCTCTTCCAATGGCAGCCTGGTCAATGCGGCAGCTTCTCGACCACTGTGCGGAGAAGCCAACCGATTGTGAGGTACTTTACACTTTTATATTGGTCCTCAGCATTGTTTAAAACAAAAGGGCAAAGATTTAACGTATGTGTATCGTTTACTCCACTCCAGGTGCTTGCTGCTTTGCGCCGCGAGGCCAAACGCCTTCTGCTGGACAAGGCACGTCTCGATCATACTCAGATGACGGCGGCTTTCTTTTGGCCTAACACCAGAAAACTCCGCGTCCTTGGTCCCCATGATCGCCTGAAGGTATCGTTTTAGAATCTTATATTCCTGTACAACTGGGCTCTTAAAGCGCCTCCCGTATTAACTTTAATGATTCTCTGTTCCTATATTCATAGTATGTACCTATTTTACAGGTCCTACACAACTTGAGAACAATGCTTCGAGAGGATGAGGAAAAGGATGCCGCCGCTGCTGCTGCGGCTGCTACCCCTGCGGAGTCTCTCTTAGAGCAGGAGGGGGACGGGGACGATCCACCACCACTGTCTCCTCAGCCACAGCAGCAGCAGCAGTACATGGATGTGGAGGAAGAGGACTCAGGCGAAAATGAAATCGAGCGGTACATGGAGGAGAAGATTGGCTTCGTTAAAGATCCGCTCAAATGGTGGAGAGAAAACGTAGGTGTCTGTCTTGATCGGATATCTTAGCGATTGGCAACAGCACAAATTATTATTATTATTAAT